TCAACTCTCATATGCAATAGGCTGTCCCTCTTGCATGAGAACTCCTCCCAGTGCATAACCACTCGCATCGCATGTCACCTCGTAAGGTTTCGATGGATCAGCAATGTGAAGCACTGGAGTCTCGCTCAACAATCGCTTCAGCGCCACAAAACTCTCCTCTTGTGGCTTCTTCCACTCGAATGGCACATTCTTGCGTAACAATCGTGTCAAAGGATTAGCCACCTCTAGAAACTTATGCTGGAAACGTCGGTAGTAACTAGCCATACCAAGAAAACTGCGCAACTCGGCTACTGTAGTCGGTGTAGGTCAGTTTTTTACCACAGCCACCTTCCTTGGATCTGTCTTGACACCCTTAGATGTCACAATATGGCCTAGATATTCCACCTCTGACTTTGCAAATTCACATTTTCTCTTCTTCGCATAAAGTTTGCTATCTCGGAGTAACAAAAGAACCTTGCGCAAATGCACCCTATGCTCCTCTATATTCTTGCTAAAAACAAGAATATCGTTCAAGAAAATCTCCACAAACTCATGAAGATAACGCCCAAATACCTCCGTCATCAACCAAGTAAATGTGGCCGGTGCATTCGTTAAACCAAACGGCATAACTGTAAACTCAAAATGTCCGAAGCTTGTGTTGAATGCCATCTTGGAGAGATGCATCATCCATTGCAATCTGATGATATCCACTCCTCAGATCAATCTTGGTAAACACTCATGCTTCACCAAGCTTGTCTAGGATATCATCCACACGTGGCATCGGCATCTTATCCTTCACTGTCTTCTTGTTCAAAGCGCGGTAGTCAATACACATCCACATTGAATTATCCTTCTTCTTCACAAGAAAGACAAAAATCTAGTCACCCTAGACTATGCTACGCCACCTTTTGAGGTTCCTCACCACCCAACCACCCCCGAGTTACCTCAAAAGCTCCACTGCACCGTTGCTCCACTGTGAGCCCTAGGGTAGGTTAGTCCCTTACCCTAACATGCCTTAATATACCCTTGAGCCTCCCTTTGACCGGCGTTGACCACGTAGTCAAAGTTGGCACCTAACATCCACCGAGCTGTGTGTCTGCTCGTGAGGGGTTTCGGCGGTGTGTGCCATTTGTAACGAACATCATCTTCCAGGCAAAGTCTTGCCGACAATCTGTCAACTGTTTAAACTACAGGTTATTCTGACCGATGATGGATTGATCAACATGAAGCACCTCACTGCACGCATGCTGTCCAAAGCTAACGGGGGATACCAGCCATCACTCGCCTTCTACACAAACATGGAGCAGTATAGCATGCTTTGATTTGGCAAGCTGGTAAGATGAGATCAGAACGAAAAGTGATTGTTCAGAATTTTTGGGTAGCTGTTACAATGACCATCATAGAATATCTTTGTCTTTAATATTTGATACATGCTCAGGAAAAAAATGAATATGAATTGGAGCCCTAGGTATCTTGCCTTTTAGTCCGTTTTATACATTAGTAAACATGTGTATACACAAATTTAGTTTTTTTATAAGATCGATTTTATATATGATTTCATTACCCTTAAATTTACTAAGTAACTTCTAATGGTAACATAAGTCCTCCTACAAAAAAACATTTGTCCTTTTACCCTTACCCTAAAATTTACATCAGAGGACTCTGATTCATGATTGAAATCTCGCCAAAGAGCCCGGTCTGGAATGAGTCCTTCCACATAAATTTTGCAAGATTCTTATTCAGCTGTCCCTTTGTTATTTTGTTGTGTATATCAGACAGTAAGCGCCAGAACGTTGTTTTTTCAATCTCCTCTCCGGCCAGCCGCTCAAGAACTGTCTGGATCTCTGCCGGAAGGCCCACAGAGGCCCGTCGACCCATACTGCGGATCTCCCATGATCTGCAGCGCCTATCTGAGGGAGCCAGCTAGCTCCAGAAAGCAAAAATCCCAACATACACCCTGGAATCCACTACGTGCTCGGATGGCTTGCCGTCGAAGGTAGCGGCTGTACACGATATTGGTTACGGAAGTTTTGAGTCTATCAGAGAGCCTGGTTGTGGATGTGAGGACTGTCGGCTATTTGCAGGATGCAGAGATGGAGCTACGTGTTCAGGCAAAGCGTTTGGTAAAATTCTCTTCCTCGTACTTCTTTTTGACAAAGGCTTACCCCGAGTAGTTGCTCTCTTGAAACTTTCAAGCTTTCCAAGTATTCTTCTTTTGCATGACAGTAAATCCCCATTGTTAAATCTGGCCCAACTGGTAGCACTTCATTGACTGATTCGGTTGCGGTGTGCACATGCAGCATTCATGTACACGTTGAGAGACGTCGATGATTTGAGCGTCTTCCAGCGCCTCTCCTCTGTCATCCAGCTGATCCATGAGCAATGAAAGAATGTTTGTTCCTTGCAGCGTCCCCGAAGCTCTTCGCTGGTTGATCATGTCCTGGATAAGCTTGATAAGCTTTTGCCGCACCTGAGAATGGGAAAACATCACAAAGCTGTGTAGGACAACGCTTATGGGGGGAAGTTGATGGGGAGAGCACGAATGCCTTGGTTGAGAATGTAGTACAAGGAGATAGTATCATCCACATCAGGGCTGGAGTCTTTCCCATATAAAATGTGGTCGATAGTTAGAAACGTGAACTGTCATATCGAAGAAAACGTGTCAACTAGGAAACAGGAGGAAGTAAACATCGTTTACCCTTCTCATCTTGTTAAGAAGAACGTTCATATCCTGAGCAGACCACCTCTCAAGGCACGCTTTTATGTTGTTGACTATGAGGGGCATATACTGCTGGAGAGCTTTGGGACTGTTCACAGCAGACTCGGTAAGCTTCTGGAGCTTCAAGTATCCCGCAAAAGAATACCGTTCCATGACCCCAATAGTGCTCTCTGGTCTCAAAGCTGTCTTTGGAGAGCACGAATTTGCATCCCTCTGGTGTGGAAGCCATACGTTGCAAGGTTGAGTTATCTGGTAGTTTTTATTATCGCTCATTGTCGCTTCTTTGTTCTCGGTTTCCAGGTACAATCGAGTGGGTTTTTACAAGGCATTTCTGTCTGGCAGTGAGCCATGAAAGGGTCCGGTCTTCCAGACTTGAAGGCTCTGAGAAAAGCAGCCATGCTGCCAAATACGGGAACCTGGTGGAAGAGGAGGCTGTCCCGGCTTGAGCACCAGCTCATAGTACCATTTGTTGAAATAACTCGAGAATGTCAGCAGGGCAGTGACTGCCACCACCTCAACGCCAAGAATCATAGAAACGTCCATCGTTTTGGTGAGCGCTGGCAGCAAGTCTTAGTTCTTAGATCTCCCTTCCTGCATAAAGCCATTAGTGTCAGTAAGGCAACAGGTATCAGAGTTAACTGCGCGAAAAGCTCGTCTTAACACGCATTCTAAAGAGCTGTGGAAAACTGTATTTATTATCCAATACGCTTTCTATTATAAAATTCGGTCTTTCAATTTTCAAAATTGAACCTACCAAAAGCCAAGTACTCCCCCTTTCCAGATCATCCCGGTGGTGATCTTGTAAAACTCACCCAAGGATCTTTCAGGAGAGTGGGATTGAGAAGAGACGGAGGTCTGCATTGGGTGGAGTTCTCCAGTGCTTGATCATCTCCTCGTGGAGGCTGTCATCGCCATAGCCGGGTTGAACCCCTGGACGAGACGAATCTTTAGAGAGTTTTAAGAGAATATACTGACGTTTGATTTTTTTGAATTGATGCGAAACGAATATACTAGTACATAGCTCTAGAATCCTAAAATCGGCAGTTAACGAGCTCGGTATCAATGCCGGCGGTGCTCGCCTGGCCTGGATTGTGTGCTAGCTGCTTTGGGATCGCCATGGCGGTGCCCAGGTATTCCTTGTGCTGATTTTGGCCATTCCCGTGGTATTGATGTTGTTCTCCTCCTTGTATTTCCAGTTCCCACTCTGCCGGTCGAATTCATAGAGGGGGAGAAAGCGCTGGGCATAGTCCGCCACGAATTCTATGGTGCACAGCAACTCTTCCTTGGGGAAGTATGCGAAGTTCAAGCGCGTCCGTCCAGGTTTGACACCGCTATATTCCTGTGAGACAAAGAAGTTCTTTCCTCTTTAGAAAAGCTCTAGAAAGCTTGTTTTAGTTCTCACCTCTTGGATCGCGGCTCGAAATTTCAGGGAGAGATCATCAGCGAGGGACCGACACCTCCTCCCAAACAAATTGTTGAGGAGCTTTGCTACAAACCGGCCCTGCGGCACGGTTTGCTGGAGTTCGTCTTTGGAATCAGTGATCCGGACGAGGAACGAGACGACCGCTGCTCGTTTCACTTGCGTGCTCCGGACAATCAACGCGGTGGTGATTAAGCTTTGCTCTCTCGACTCGATGAGACGGTATCCCGAGACCATCCCGGGTTTTATCCGCTGGAGTATGGAAGGTGCTCTTTCGATGTCCTCCGAGTAGAGTGTGTTATGAGTTTGTTTAGTGTTACTGGTTTTCTTGTTTCTTTCGCTGGAAAGGGAACTGACCTCTTTGTTGTAGTTGACGAAGTCTTCTGTTGTCGACGGTGCGTGATCCTTGGAGCTTGTTGAGCTTTTTGTTCATGCAAAGCAGGGGACTCAACATCACACGTCTTTGCGGGGTCGAATGTAGATCTTAACGTGCGGATCCCTGTTGAAACTCCCAACTCTCCCACTTTCTCCCAATTGAATCCTTGCAGCAGCCTCGCCAGCACACACTGCACCATCCGGAGTCCCATCCCCATCCCTGGGCAGATCCTCCACCCGGATCCAAAGGGGATGAGCTCGAAATTCTGGCCCCTCACATCCACGCCCTTCTTTGCGCCCTCCTCGAATCACTCCGGCCAGAAATCCAGCGCCCTCTCCCACGAATTGGCATCCCTGGAGATTGCGTAGACATTGACGAGCAGCCGAGAGCCCTGTGCGATCTGGTAACCGGCACTCTACACACAGGGCATGGTGGATTCATAGAGGATCACTGGCGATGGCGGATGCAATTGCAGCGTCTCCTTGACGATGGCGTGCAGGAAATTCAGCCTTGGGAGATTGCTCTCCTCCACAACCCTGTCACGCCCCACCATGGCATCGATCTTGCGCTGCGCCTGGCACATTGTGGTGGGGTGCCGGAGGAGCTCCGCCATCGCCCACTCGCAGGTGACCCACACGGTGTCGCTCCCGGCCCCAATCACATCTTGAGTGCCACGAAGGGAGCGAGGAATGAGTGTAAATCCCCGAGAATTAGGGTTCTTGAGAAATACTTGGATGACAGCTTTAATGGTAATGAATACATTTTATGATCTATTATTGAATCTAAAATTTTGTTTGTGATAGAAATAGGTAATATATCTTTTTTTTTTGCATCATTTAACTTTTTGTAATTCATACAAATTTATAATTTGCCATTTTTCTTAGACACAATTAGAGCATTTTCAATTGGATAGATAAATTCTCCCTAAAAAAGTTTATCAATTTCTTGACTTTACCTTGGTAATTAAGATTTATTCTATAAAGCATCTACTTTTTAGGCATATTTCTTGAGAGTATCTTAATATGGTGCATATAGAGTTTTGACAAGATGTCTTTTAAAAATCTGTGTAAGATTAAAAGAAAATGTCTTTGTAATCTTCTAGTAGATTTATGGCTTGATTGCGAAATTCACTTTGTAATCCTTGAGCAATTGTAATAGTATGCAGATTATCTCATTTGCTAAATTGATTTGTTCAAATGGTTGATCACAAAAAATATACGAAACATAATTTCTCTATTGATTAATTTTATAAGTAGGATCCTCCTTTACGGAGAAATCTTTTGCCTTTGTTCTAAGGGTTTTTTTCTTAGATACTTCTTTAAGTATTGAATAAAGATTTACTTTTGAAATTGGCTCAATTTTAAAAAAAACTTCTAAAATTTATTGTTCTTAGAAATCATCTAGGCCTTCCTCCTAATTATAAAATTGAGTTTTGAGGGGTTGATATTTCCTTTCCAATTGTATAGTGGAAGTAATGGGCATAATGTTTTTTGGTTGCCCTACAAAAAAATTGTTTTTTCAGTCTTGGTTTGTGCAAGCAATTTTTAGCCATAGTAAGGTTTTATAGGTAGAATCTCGTTATGTCATTTTAAGTACAACATAATTGAGTTTGTACTTTAGGCCAACCACATTGGTTAAAACATTTTTAATAATTCCAATGGGCTTGATGCATTAGTCATCTACCATTTGTACATTAATAAGGCTAGCTGAATTGAACCTAAGCTTAATTCTTTTCAAATACTCTCTTTTAGAATATTTATGCTTGAGCCACCATCAATGAGAGTTTCAAATAATAGATTCTTACCAATCTTCATATTAATTATAGAAATTTCACCATCACAATCCCCTAGCTCAATTACAATGGCTATAAATGGGACTAAAGTTTATTTCTTTTTATGCAAGAGCTCTCTAAGCAATGCAATTTTAAGAAAAAGTGCTATAATGAGATGTTAGCCTAAAGTGAGTGTAATTTTAGCATTTAAAATGCTTTTCATCGCCTTTTTTTCATCCTTGCCATTTAACTTTAGTATAGGGTTTTTCTTTTGCACTAATGGTAAATTCATATAAACTTATAAGGCATGTATCAATTTATAAAGGTGTGAGACTTTCTGTGTTAGAATCATCATTGTTCAAATACTTGTGGATGCAAGTTTTGGAGTTGTTGAGTGATTTTTGCACTGATTTTTTTCTTTTAGCGCCATTGAAAGTTATGGATGATCTCTACTTTATCATCACTCCCTTTATCTTGGCTTTCAGATTCAACTCTTCTATGTTGAATTTTGATTATGACATAATCACTAGGTAACTTTTCTATATCTGACCATTCTACCTTAATGTGCCTAATTATAAGTTGCATATCCTTAGAGGTTTTGTTTGATGATTCAATTTAATTATATGGCCTAGGATAGCAAGTAGGAGTCTTAACTTGATCATACTCTTTTGGCATTTCATATTCTTTAAGCTTATTGTAACCTCTTAGCTTATCATATTCTCTAGGATGATTATAATCTTTACACCTATTTTCCTCACGGTTAGGTGGATAATCTCAAAAATTACCCATATGCAGATAATCCCCATAGTCATCTTGTTTTTCAGCATATAGATATTCATATTTAGCATTTCGATTATCATTGCAATCGTTCTTCCTACAACAACTTTTATCGTCAAGTGGATACCTTTGCCTATGTATTGTTTTATTAACTTAGGCTGCTTGTTGGGTTCCTAGTTGTTTAAACAAAGTTTTACACTCTTTATCTAAATGTCCCTCTTTTTCATAAAATTAGCATTTGATTAGCTAAAATTTGCATTCTTTCTTGTTATATTTTTCATTTTTGCATTTGATACACTAAATCCCTTATTTGAAATTGATTTGCAATTTTAAACTTCATAGACGACTAGTTTCTTTGTCTATAAAGATTGTTTTTTTGTCTGACTTCACTATATTTACCATCTCATATTGTTTTATGAGATTTTGGTAGGCAATAATAGTTTCTTTAAGTCATCAAAATCTATATGAACTCTCTTTATCACATATTCACAATAAATTTTCATGCATAGATATAGGTGCATTTTGTCTGATACTAAGTCTTTACAATATTTATAACATTTGTTGAATTGAGTTGTATATTCTTCGATTGTTTCAGATTTTCTTTGATAAAGTTTTTGTAGTTCATCATAGTTTTATCCTGGGTTTGTTTCCATGGAAAAATCTTTAAGGAAAAATTTTGTATGCTTATCAAATGTGCCAAGCTTTTTGACATCATTGTTATAATACTAATATTTAGCTTTGGTTTTTAGTGTATAGGGGAAAAGATTTTTTCCTGCCCATCTACTTGATTAAGCTTAATTGCTTCTATGTATTTCTCAATATGCAGTTGTGGGTCTTTTCCTTTAATCCTAGAAAAGGATGGATATGTGATGATGGTATTTATTGTTATTCCTGCAATTGCCATTATGCTCATTGCAATTTGATAAAAAATACTCTATTTTGCAACTAGTATAGACAAAATACGTATTTGGTTCGTAAAGAACTTGAATCATCGTTAGAGGGTTTATAAATTTAACTCTTTTGCCTTTTATAGGGTATCACTCTAGTTGTTTTGTGTTTCACTATTCTCAGTTGAAGTAGAGGCATTTTCTATGTGCCGATGCTACCAAAGAAAGTAGCATATGGATTTACGTATTTTGGATGACTGTCAAAGTTGTATTGGGATTTTTAATCTCCTATTCATTGAGGTGTACTTAATATGCTTTCAGCTCACTCTCTTTCAAACTTTTTTTTAGTTTGGTTAAGCAATGATTTAGTCTGTTATGAAGGGAGGTCAAGATCGCAAATATCACGAGTAAGTGCTTTATAATCTCGTTCTAGATATTGTGAATACTTCTTTTTAGACTGCCTTCTACTATTTAGATTGTGAGGGAAATATTGTATATCTATTACTTTATTTGGTATAGACAGTGATAATTTTATACATAAGGATTATTCCCTTTAAAGCTTTATAGGTAAGATCAATTGTTAGTCTATGTCTATATATTTTTAAGTTTGTTGGCATTGCTACTATGGCAAGCATAGTTATTATGCCTCGTTTGTGGAGTGAGTGGTACAAGATTTTTGTATGAATTGATTCCCTTTGTAAATTGGCCTATTAATCACTCTTAGGAGCAAACACTTAACTTCTGAATCAATTTCGAAATGGGGATGGCTTTTCTTTAGAGGCCAAATGTCTAAGACATTGCTTATACAAGAGTCCTAGGAATTTCTCGAGCAACAAATGTTATTTTTTATAGCATATATGTCTTACTTAAATATGGTCCACTTTAAAAGATTTTTACCCCACAAAATTTTGTTACCTATCAATCTAAATTTAGAATTGATCTAACATCTGTTAGCCCAATTATCAATAAGTGTATTTCTACCTATGGGTATCCAAGCTTTATTGTGGACCATTAAAGTTCTTATAATAGCGTCTTTGCCTATGATTGCATAGAATTCTAGCAATTGTCTAGTAGGTAAAATTTTATAAATCATTTGTAGGTTATAATACTCAGGATTTGCATCTAGCTCGGATAGACAAACTATCTTTTTGTTTAAGAAGAATCCTGGTACTATTTTCTTTTTGTATAGGTAACTCCTAGATATAAATCTCAATTACACTATGTACCTACAAAGTAATTTAAGTGTATTATTGTCAAGACCCCCAACAAGATCAATATTGGAAAATGCAAAAGACAAAGAGAAAAGCTAGTGAATAACGAAGAAGAGGCTTTAGATTGGTGTTGATTCAGATTGTGGAGAAATGGAAAAAGGCTAACCTATATATACTATAGGTTGATGAAGCTCCACCACTCTTGGATCGAGGACGGCCCAAATATAGTTGAGGTTGAGAAGGTGCCACATCATCATCAGGAATGTGGCTCAAGACTCAAGAATCGTATGGGAAATCGAAAGTCAGGAATAGGGAAGTGTCTCGAGAGTCAGGAATAAGGAAGTGTCTCAAGAGTCAGGAATGTGGTCTGCAGGTTCAG